TTTCACTGTGACCCTACCAAGATCCTGGCAGCTCAGTGCTCTTGGTCTTGGGAGAGTGAGGCCAACCGATCCGGGGGCAATCTCACTGTGACCTGGGGAAATTCCACAGGCCTGTGCCCAGGCTCAGCTGGAGATGACCAGGGTATGAACTAATACCTCTTTACATACCTGGCTTTCCCAGTCTAGACACAAAGCATGAATCCTTTGCTGCAAGCTACTACTCCCCTCAACACATACAGAACATTATACCTTATAGAACACAACTTCCACTATCAACTCACCTTGGAGTAACACTACCTCAATGACCCCGTCTAACCCTGCGACACAAAAGCCACACAAGCCAAAAAGCAAAAACTCAGTTCTTAGACACAGTCTTGACTATAATAGAAACTGGCTTGTCCAGTTTTTAAATAGCTTTTCAAGGTGTTTTCCCTGAAAAGTTATTTAGTACTCCACAACATCATCCCTGATAATCTCTCTGACCTATGCACTACTGTTCTAGTCTTTCCATTTTACATGACTTTTCCTCTTCTGATAGCACAGTAGGAGGAATGCTCTTTCAGGTATATCTGACCTTAACTCTAGGTTACAGTCAGAGAAGCCCAAATTTAAATTTCAGATTCTATTCCCTTAACGTTTTACCTTTACTATGTATTTTCCCAAATCGATCTATTTCATTGTTAAGATAGTCAGTTGCTCCCTGACTATTTTGCAAGTTAAAAAATGCTCTCTTCTAAATATATTGTGTTTAAATGTGTAGAACTTACGTCACTTTTAATTGTGCCCATAAATTTTCATTTTTCTTCCAAACGTCTGACCTCTCCAGTAAAAGAAAAAATGCTGATGCACAGAAGCCCTTTTGAGGCTTGATATTTTAATCATTCCAGGATCATCTTTTCAGACTCCTATCCATGACAGTGACTCACAATGGAGAACAACTGGAGCTTTTTAATTACAGTTAATGTCTCTTGTTAGACTGAGGGGATGGAAATGGTTCTCAATCTTTCTAAGTACTACTTTTAAGCAGTCATGAAATGAAGCCGTAAGATGGTTTTAATTGCTTTAAGAGACAAAGCTGACAGATTCCTTTGAACGTGGCAAGACGACTTCACAAGGGGTTTATCATCTCCAAGGCCAAAACCTTTCCAAGTATACTGAACAATATAAAACAATTTCCTTTTAAACCGACCACTTGGTGTAGAGACATACGTGTCACATTAAATCACAGCACTTGTTTTCTGTCAAGTTTGATCCTCTCCAAAAGGAGATGCCACATTTAGCAAAAATACAGAGTTTAATTCATTCTCTTTTCAGGAATTTCCATCCCTTGAATGTCAGTGTTATTAATCTAAGTAATCATCTGAAAACCTTGGATTAATTTGATTAACCGCAGCAAAGAAACCACGTTTACAGGCTCCACCTAGTTTCTGCAGTTCAAAGTGGTTTTCCCAGCCTGAGTACAGTGTTCTAATAATGTTTTTAACCAAATTACTAAAGAACCTTTCTGTTTAATGGCATAGAAATGCAAAATATCAGAGTGATGACAGATTTCTGTACAAAGTAAACACAATTTTAGAATAAACTAATAACAAAATTAAAACAAAAACCTCATGAGAACAGCAACTGCCTTTCACAAACTGCTGAGATCAAGACAAAAATTCCAGCTCATCCCATGAATGGCAGATGAGAGACACTACCATCGGGACAGATATTATTAATAGTCTTGAACAGAAATGACGCCTGGGAGTTATCCTGACTATATTCATCTAAAAAGTAAAATGATTTGTTTCTTAAAACTATTACAGCATCATTCACCAAATATGTTAAATAACCATAAGTAACCATAAAGATTAAAGAAGTAATCTGTAGAGATAATACACCAAACAATGGAAGGGATATAGTGCAAAAAAATATCTCTGCTTTCTTTGTACTGCATTATATTCAAATACACACTGATATATGTTCCTTAAAAGCCAGAGACTCCTCTTCAGATGTGACTTTCAGTTAAAAGCTCTTCCAAATCTGCGAATTAAACCTCCACTTGTTTAAAATGTGTTTACTCTAATTATAATCATTACCAAAAAAGAGATAGGTGTATCAAAGTAGCTGCAAGAATTTTTAAGTACGTGAAGACAGAAAAAAAAGTTCCCATCACACTACAGAATGAAAATAAAACTCACTGACTGCAGCTTACTTGGCCAAAATACTATAGTTCTGGGAACTCTAATGCTTTTACTGTTTCAGATTATTATTGTTGAACTCTTCATAAAAAAAACATTAAAAGAAAAAATAACACTGCCCATGTTTACTCGCTGTGACATTTTTATGTCAGAATTTGAGACGCCAGAGGTGACAGCTTGGACAAAAGAAAAAGAGAAAATGTCAGGGATTTTTGCTGGAGTGGGATGTATCACTTTACAACGCCTTGAAGTCTTGAATGAAATTCACGGATGAACGAATTAAACAAACATCAGAGGACAACAGAGAAAACGTTGAGGCAATGGCATCGGTTTCACAGGTTTAAGCATCTACTACCCTTCATATTGAAACAGCTCAAAGCTAAGAGATTATTTTTACATACTGTGTTTTCTGAAACCATTTCACAAACTCCCTTTTAATCGTCACAAAATGTGTATATTCTTGCTACATTTATTTCTTTAATGAAACGGTATAGAATTGTATCAATGTATTTAAAATAAATTGAAAATGCTTTTTAGTGTAGCATGAGAGGTAAATACTGCATTGCTGGTAAATCTACTTCAAAAGATGCACAATCTGATTAATTGGCCATTATCTAATTTAATATCAAAAGGCCAAGTTAGAATTCTTTCAATTCTGGGTTTTAACCATCTTTCCATTCACATTTAAAAAAAATATGGCTTTAGAGGAATGTTCTGAGACACTTGAAAAATCAGATGAGCGGCTTACCACTGGCTGTAGTGAACACGTTGCAGGTTTCAATGAAGAAAAAAATGACATCTGATTTTTAGAGATAGAGCACAAAACTTACAAGTCTGCAACTGCTTAATATTCAGCTTATTTTTGTATATTTTGTATATTTCTTCTACTTTTTAAAACTTCCAGGACTCCAGACACTTTGGAGCTAGATACAGTACCTCTATCCTGTTATACATTGTTCTAAGAGGAAGCTGTCAAAGGCATTATATGGAGCATATGAATTGCAATCTTTATGAACACATGAAGAATTGCACACATTCCTCTCAATCATAGTTAATATAATGCCAGAGTATTTCTATAATAACCTGTATATGAACCTTTTGCAAATAACCATTATTCAAATGAAAAAAGCACTGACTGGTAGCATTATCTGGATTGAGTTTTCCTCAAGGTTCTGCGGTATTTAAATCCGGTTTTATCTTTTTTACAAAAGCTTGACACTGAAGCCTATATTGTTAATTTGGTCATGTATCGGCCTTATGGAAAAATTATTGTAAAGAAGACACGGGCACAGGGGAATCCTGAGTGTTTATATTAGGGTGCAGCCATGACTTGAGATTAGTATTATACAGCATCATAAAGGAACTGGCCAGATTCCTAGCTGTGACAGATCAAGAGGCTGTTCTGCATTGTATTGTTCTGTTTCCTCAAATACCCTCCACTGCAGCATTTCTGCCATAGTTCAGGTGCCTTGCCTCTAGGGCAGCAAATTTAGTGGGTCTCACCTGAAATGTTTACTGTGCAAGTTGCTGAAGCTAAATAAGACTTCTCCTACAGCTACTCTGAATTTCTCTACACATTATATTTCCATGAGCTCTTTTATGTTAGGTTAATTTGTTATTTACAGTAACAGAAAGCATTTAGGAAAAGCAACATTTCTCAAATGCTAATTGTGAAAGTTCCTTTAACACTGAATAAATAATAATGTCATTAAGAAATACATGTATCACACCTGTGCTTTAGAAGCTATTCTAATATGAAGATGGTTCAGATTCATAGGTTTAAGTCTCAAATTTAAAAATCCCAATTTGATAAAATCTCCTTAATTTAGACTAAAATCGTAATATTGTCATTTTTTTAATCTATATAGATTTTAATCTAATCTATATGAAATATACTACACAAATGTAATTCCCAGATTTTTAAACAGCTATAGTAAAAGTAATGCAGTCATAAATGTAGATGTTCACCCCATAATTTAGTTTTTCTACTTTGCGAGAATTTGCAACTAGAAAATAGAGACATTGAATGTTGAATGTTGAATCAATTTAAGCTTGATTTTTATTCCAATATCCACTTCTGGCGACTGAGTGGTTGAATTTGTGTACAACCTTTAGGAATGTCTTCAATAGGTAATAATTTTTTACTCTCTCAAACTCTGGCATAACTAAGATACACAGCATTCTTGTTTTCAGAGAAATCAATTAAAATGGCTGATTTCAAGCCTAAGACCTCCTGCAAGAGACCCTGGCAGTATTGACTGAATGACAGTTAAGCATGTGTAATCTTTCAAAACATTTGCAGAACAAAGTTTATTGCTCAGTACAGGGCAGCCCTATACGCTTAAAAACAGTCAACACGAGTGGCACTGCAGAAGAGGCAGACAACATAAGTATTACTTTTCCAAATCAGCTATTACCGAAATTATAGACCAAAATAGTTATATTGCCAAAATCAGTTTCTGAAGGCAAATTCCACACAGCTGCATACACGTTTAGAAAAATAAACTCTAGAGCTCTAGAGAAAACACTCTTCATGTCTGAAACAGTAACTAAAAAATGCAATGCACAACTAAAATAAACACCGAGTGAAAATGTATTTCGGAGCATGTGTTCTTTGTAGATCTGTGAGGATCTCCATGATGCATTTTTACTTTAATTTAAAACACGCGCACTCACGCAAAAGCAAATAATTGAGTTAAGAAGATGCCTGTGAGAATCTGGTGCTACTGGGTGGGAAAGAAGTGCTACACCTCGGCCTGGAGCAATCTGTCAGGGAGAGGAAGCAGAGTGGATGAGAAAGCAGCACAGGTGAGAACTCACCGTCCATGTGGCAGATTTGGCTGTGCTGGACTGCTGGAAGGTGACTTCGAAGTTGTGCGGCCCGGGGTAGTCGGTGTTGGACGGGATGGCAGGAGCAGGAGACATGGCGTCGAAGGTGGAGTTGGGCTGGGAGTAGGGCGAAGGCGTCGGGACATTCGAGGTGTGCTCTGAGCTGTAGGGGCTGGTGGAGGCTGCTCGGGTGCCGAGATTCTGATCCATAGTGCTGCTGAGGAGATTGTACTGGGACTGTGAGAGAGAGGCGAGGAGGGGGAGGAGAGAAGACACAGGTAAAGGAATTGGAAGACATTCACTCAACTCCCAAAGTCTCCGGTTACACTGACCTTAACTTAAAGAGATAGAGGCACTATCCTGGAGCAGAGAGGGCTATTATTCACAAAAACAGACATTTCCTTTGGTTGCCAAAGCAGAGCATTATTTGCTTCAGTTTCCTTAAGGAATACAAATCACTTTATTAAAAAAAAAACAAACGCAATTGGGATTTAGTATGAGAATCACAGTTTTTGTCACACATCAAACAGTATAAATCAGTATAAATAAATATATCTCATTCAAACACTTTTACAGGAACCATCTTCTGTATGTACAGGTATATTTAGAATCTGCTCTCTGGCTTGAAAAACAAAAGAGTTTAGTTCACTAGAAATGGTCTATATCCCTTTGAAAATATCAGTTTGCAGCATTATTATTATTATTACTATTACTATTACTATTATTATCATCATCATCATCAGGTACACACGAATTACTGTAAGTACTCAAAGACATTGACAAAGACACCCTGAGAATCTCTGTCCTCTAACACAGCACACAGTGTGTAGTGTGTTTCGGCTGTTGAAGTGAAAACTGTGAGGAAGTGGATTTAAAACTGAGAACAGGAGGTAGATTCTTACACACAGTGCTATGGAAGTCACCAGTCAGCTACCCAGCCTTCTTGTCTAAGATCATACCTGGGTCTTCTATGGGAAATTGCCAGATGAGATTGATAGGCTACTAGCAACCAAACAAGATGGGCTTTTCTTATGCTCTTATGAAAAACATATAGACTCGAACACAAGATAAAACCAGCTTATATAATTTTAACAGGTCATATATAAGCAAGCAAAGGCATTAAATACATATAACATAATGGAACATTTTAAATGTACTGTCATAGACTCATGTGTTCAAGGTTAGCACTTTTTGACAAATATTTGAAATGGGAGTAAAACCAATTAAATAAGAGGTTTGTCGTTGTATCTTTCAACATAAATGAACATTAATCATTATATCCCAGCCTAGGTGGAATTTCTGTGCTGTCTTTTGATTGCATGTTGGCAGTGAGGGAGGAGCTGCAGAGAGCAGATGTGCTCAGTTGACTGACATGCATACAAAGGGGAAACATTCCAGATTGGGAGAACTGCTCTATTTTTATCTCAACCCTGGAGTGAGAGCGATAAATAAAATAAAATAAATTGATCTTGGATGAGGAAAAAATAAAATATGATGTCAAAATCCTAAAAAAGGGGCAAAAAGGTCAAACTCAACAATCAGCAGCTCTGATCATTAGGAAAAACACAAGAACTTCAACCAATGGAATTTTTTTCAGCAAATAAGATTGCTGAGCAATATCAATAATGCTATATCTTTCATGCCATTCAATAATACATTATATATAACTTATGTTAAGAATCATTATGACTAAACCTCAACTCAGTAGGATTTCATTTTTAGGACCATGACTTTATTCATGGAATAACTGCAAAATACTTGCACTAAACTAAAATGAAATGAATGAAATAAAAAAAAATGAATGAAATAAAAAGACCAAAAAATATAATCAAAACTGGCAGTGTCCTGAACATTAACTACTCTCATACCTTAACTAAAATCCTTGTCTTTTAAATACACATGCATTTATGAAATACTCAACAAAATGATCTTATACAGTACATATGCATTGCAGTGTAGTTTCAGAAGCATCCACAATCTTGTAAAATTTCATAATCTCACCTTGTGCTTAAGAATCATATGATATTTGCAATATCTAAGCACTCAATAAAAATGTAATAAAGCAAGTTCAAACTGCAGTACCGCAAAACAAAGGCTCTGAATATCTACCCAAGCTTTCTCACCAATGTATACAACTCTGATGCAGATCACTCAGTGTAAGCTAGCAGGAAGGGAACAGCAGCTACTGCCCTCAGCAGCATGCAACAAAGACTTGAGCTCCCATTGAAAATATGCTCAAACAGTTACCTTCTTCTTCACGTAATACATTGTCCAGACTTGCTGAAGTAAAAATGGCAAAAGCAGATTAATCTTAAACAGAAAAAAAGTCCAGGCAAACTGCAAAAATGCAAAGGCAAAATTAGGAAGCAGGTAGCATATCCCTTAGGACTGTCAGGAACGTGTATTTTATGCAGTTTAAAAAGTATGTTCTTCACCTTCTTCAAACAGCACTAAACAAACTTGTATGACCGAAAACCTTTGCTGGCTGAGATTGGGCAACCAGAGAGACAGAGGGAGAGAGTGAGTGAGGAAGTGAGGGAGTGAAAAAAAGAGAAAAACAAAAAAGCTCATGTTGTCCTAATTATGGCATGCCCTAACCCAGACAACAACACCAGCACAGGTAGGTACATGTAGAAAAACACCTTCTGAAGGCCCATGCTGAACAAACACTGGCTGGTAGACTCAGGAGAGAAAAGAATCAAGAGCATGGATCAGAGGTCAGAAAAAAACAATAGGGGGTTTCCATATATGGGCAGGCTGGTGATCTTTAAATGGCTTGCACTCTTACTATAGTAAACAGAAAGCCCTCTAACAGGCAGATATTTAGAAATCGTGACTTGTGGTGAACCCACTCCAGTCCTTTCATGATTTAAGCAGTATTTTTTAAATTTTATTCACAATGTTTTCTCTTGTGAAGCAGCTGGTTATGCATTCATACTACAGTAGCAAGCGGTAGTTATGATTCCTGGTGAATTGTACTTTCAAACACTGGCTATAGAGAAGATACTTTCTTTTCTGTAGCTCTACAGAAGTTTAAGTAAATTAGTGTTTTAACAGCTAAGAAAAGATATCAATAATAATTAAATTTACTTATAATTATCTGATTCATCCTGAGGGATCCCAAAACTCTTTACATGTGAGCAAACTGACTTAATCCTCCACTGATGTGCTGCTTCCACCTGGACGGTGTACAGTAGCCATTCTGCACCAGCAGCCCACAACACAACACAAGTGTGGAGAAAAGAGAAACTGCTTCGCAACTTATTCAGCGCTTCACTACCTTACGTTGAAGCAATTTAAAGTAGGTCAGAATATACAAACCCAGAGTGGAATTTAAGCAGCACAACAAGGTTAACACACCCACTCTTACAAACAGTATCATTGCATCTTTAATGACCAAGTACTCAGAACCTGAATTTACCATCTGATCTCCAGCATGGCACTTCTTTTAGATGGTGCCTCATGTTGTGACACTGGTCTGGAAATTCTAGACCAGAGGAAGGACTGCCACCTTCTGTTCCACCAACACCCCTCACAGCATGACCTTGGTTTTCCTTATTCCATGCCAGTACTTAACTGGACCAACCTCGCTTCTCTATGCCAATGTTTATTTCCCCCAAAAAATGAGTGTGATGAATTGAAATGGTGGGTGCACTTATATCTCAACTGTACAAGTCATCAAATCAAACTAGCTGATTAAATTAGGCTCAACTAGCTAATGCTACAGTCTGCTTTTCAGAATATCTCATGGCATGTCCAGGCAAGCTATATTTATAGATTGTTGGACAGCCCACAATGCCAAAAAAGGTATCCTAATTAGCTCTGGTGATAGGTGATTGACAGAGGTTCCAAGCATCTTTTTTACAGAACCTGTAACTGTTTTGACAAGAAAAGCATGGGTTTGACACAGTGGGTTAGAGGTTCATTCAGGCAGACATAACTGCAGAAATTTGGTAGGCAGAAATATAATGGTTCCAAAAATGATGAAATGTGTTATTAAATTGTTCGACTATATTATGCAACTGACATTTGTACTGATTTATACAACTGGGTGGTTTATTGAAACAATCAGAGTAAACTGCATTGCTCAAGGTTACAACAGCAGTGCCCCATGGGTGATCTGACCCACAGCTTTCAAGTCATAAGTCCAGACCCTTAACCACAGCTCCATACCATTACCTTGGTACCTGAACAGTTTTTAACTACCCATCAGAAAATTAGCCAAACGCAAAGCTAGCACTCAAGAACAGCAGCACTACCACTTTCAAGCCTGATTTCACCAGATCTTAGAAACTAAGCAAAGCTAAGCCTGGTCACGAATATTGCTGCTGTCAATGGTGTTGGCCACTAGGCGACATTCTTCTCCAAGGGGCAGAATACCCAGGGACGAACAGGCCACATAGGACTATATGAGCTACTGGCCCTCCTTTGAGATATTAAAGAAAAGGCCTGAGCACCTGGCTATTTAAGAGCTCATAAAAATAAAATTATTAACACCAGTGTACAGAATCTATTTCACCTTAGGCTTGCACAATTTGACCTACCTACATTTCCCTCTTAATTGAATTAGTGAACGTCTTCAAAGCAACCAGGAGAAGTGTAGAGGGGCTACAGGTGCCTACTGACTGTGTGTTGCCTGCTGTACATGTGTGCCAACCTTCAGTGGTGGATAAAGCACGTCCTCTCCTAGATGTGAAGTGCTTGGGGATCCTTTGAGATGACACTGTATCTGCTATACAAATGCAAGGAACTATAATGAATTTAGAGGGGTATAGCAACTCAACCCAAAATGTTTTTAGTGCAATTACTTAATATGCTGCTCTAGGGACTGTAAATAACTGCAAAATTGATACTGTTGATATTTCAAGTGTAAAACAAGAATACACATTTCTTTTGTTCAGATGCTGAACAATCTTTAAAATATAAAATATTACTTTTATATTTTTTTACCTCTGCTTGCATCCTTTACACTATTCCAGGGACATTATTATCATTTAAAAGACATTGTTGCATGTGAAACATACACAAGTAGAATTACGGTATGTTAGAATTTAATAGTTGTCTCGTGGCTGTTCAATTGCTAGAGTTAAGAGCTATAATTACTTAATGACTCCATTGTACCAGTAGTACAGTAAACTGGGAGGGTGTGGTTTACTTCAGAAGTAGGATAATTAAGGAAACTGAGGCCTGTGATTGTTCCGTTAAGTGGTGTGGTTATACATAAGAACACCAGCCTA